AGTACATTACACTAACTGCTTCTTTCCCATCATTGATGGTTCAGACTTTTTTCCTTCCTTCTTCTGACTTTTTTTTTAATGAAAACATTTTTTTAATTTTTGGAATAAAACAAACATTTACATAACATAGCACAATTAAAAGATGATTACAAATCTATTATATACAACTTGATATTCCTTTTAAATATACAACAAAGTTATCATATAATTTCCTTTTTTCCCCTTTTTTTCCCACTCTCCCTAGAGATGACTAACATTAGACACAAATATGTATGTGTGTGTGTGTGTGTGTGTGTGTGTGTGTGTGTGTGTGTGTGTGTGTGTAAAATCATTCTATATGTACTTCTGTTGATCAGTTCTTTCTCTGGATGCAGAAAGAATCTTTCCTTATATGTCCTTTGTAGTTAATTTGGGTATTTACAATAGAGAATATGATTTATTTATTCAAAGTTATTCTTAAAACAGTATTGTTGTTACTGTAAACAATGTTCTCTTGGTTCTGCTCACTTTTCTCTTATTTCATACAAGTCTATTCATGGTTTTCTCAAATCATTTAGCTCATCGTTTCTTATAGCACATAGCATTCTATCACAATCATATATCACAACTTGTTCCCTTTGCTGACTTTGTACCATTCTTCAGGGCCTATTAAGATTTTGTCCAAAAATACTACCACGCCCCTCACCTCCTCACTCCTGCCCCTTCTAGGAGCTTGGTCCTTGCCAGACTAGTTCCTCTGTTATCTTGCCTTAAATCTGTTTTTCCCTCTTTTAGTCCCCTGGGATGTAGTTGATAAGACCCTAGGAATTGGAACTCTAGTCACCTTGGTGCTGTCTGATTTCACTGATTTGGGTTTTCATTTACTATTAATGCATTTTACTCTACTTTTCTCCTCAAATAATTCTGATTTCTCGGGGCAGCTAGGTAGCACAGTGGATAGAGCACTGACCTTGGATTCAGGAGGACCTGAGTTCAAATCCGGCCTCAGACACATAACACTTACTAGCTGTGTGACCCTGGGCAAATCATTTAACCCCATTGCCTAGCCAAAAAAAATAATAATTCTGATTTCTTGACAAAAAAGCAGAGATAGGAGAAAAAAAGCCCTACCTTCCATCAATCTATAGAGGTATGTTTTCCAGATTCATTATTGTCTAGTCATTAGGCTGTCACCAGGCCTCAATCCACTGGCTACACTGCTTCTGACCATGCTCCCGAAATCTCTTTAACCTCCAAGATTGCTTTAACCTCGAAATTCGTCCCTCAGCAGTACTTTCTGCCCCTTAGCTACTCCCTCTGATTAGATGCTTCTTCCTAGATCCTCCATTTAAGGTAGATACCCAGGCAAGCCATCCCCTCATTTCTGACCATGCTGCATTGCAGACCTCAAACGTGCACTGTGCTGAGTATCCTACCTCCCCGCCTCCATTCAGCTTCCTGTTATGTTTTGTCTTTCCCCTTGAAATGTAAGCCAGTGGAGGGCAGGGATTGTTCCTCTTTGTGCCTGATTTTGTATTCTCAACACTTAGAGTCTGGAACACAGGAGGCATTTAATAAATGCTTGTTGACTTACTGACTACTGTACATAAGCAGGGACCGTCTACTTAATTTGTTTCATATTTAGGCAACTCTCTAAAGCCAGGGTTCTCCCTTTGGGAGTTCCTGTCTATCTAAAGGAAGCCTTTTCCAGAATTCAGGAAGTGCCAGTGTTTAATGGCCTTTTAGAACTCAGGTTTACCCCTCCACCATGGTTGGACATCATAAGAGGACAATAATAGAACATCAGAAGAGACTGATAACTCATAGATAACAATCGTAATAGCTAACATTCTTATAGGGATTGCCATGTGCCAGGCACTGTGTTAAGTGCTTTACAATGATCTCATTTGATCCTCACAACAACCATCTGAGGAAGGTGCTATTATTATTTCCATTTTACATATAAGGAAACCAAGGCAAACAGAGGTTGTCATTTTCACAGGATCACACATCTAGTAAGTATCTCAGGCCGTATTTGAACTCACGTCTTCCTGACTCTAGTCCCAATGCTCAAGTAGACAGGCAGAGGTCTACACTATTGCACATGAATCATTTTTTTAAAGAATGCTAGGGGAATATCTGTGGCACATTCGATTGATTGTAATGGATATTTATTAAATACCTACTATGGTCAAATATTGGGGCACAAAAGCAAAAACAATATGTAATTTTTCTGTCAATCAATAACTGTTTGTTAAGTGCCTACTAAGTGCAGGGCAGTAGATAAGGCATTAGAAATTCTAGTACAAAGAATGAAACAAAACAAGTCCTACTTGCAAGGAGGTTAATACATAGTTTATTTACATGTACATCTAAGTCATAAATAGAAATTGGAAAATCTATACAAATTGGTGAAATACTAGGTAGTTTAAGAGAGAGGGCACCAGAAATTACAAAGATCAGGAAAGGCTTAATGAAGAAAACAGTGTTTGGTTTGTGAAAGGGCCACTATGAGGCAGAGAAAGAATACCTTCCCAGAGTGGGGTACACTCAATGCAAAGGTGAGAAAATGAGAGATGGAATTCTAGGTGTTAGAATCAGAAAGAAAGAAAGTTTGATTGTGTCACAGAGTGGATGAGGGGAATAATTTCCAATAAACCTGGAAAGAGAGGTTAGAACTAGGTTGCAAAAGGCTTTAAAAGCTAAAGAGAGTAGTTGATATTTCATCCCAGAGGCAATAGAATGCAAGTGGAGTTGCATGTTTGTGGGAGTCATACCTTTCCTTAAGAAAAATGGGGAGATCAGTTAAGAAACTGTTGCGCTTATCTTAGTTCAAGTTTCTGAGGGTCTGAACTACCATGGTGGCTCTAGGAGTAGAGAGGGGAGGAGGTCCAATACTAGAGATATTATGGAGGAAGAAACAACTAGATTTTTGCAGCTGATTGGATTCATGGGGTGAGGGAGAGGGAGAAGTTGAAACTGATGTTGAGGTTATGAACTGGGAAAGCTGGTAGGATGGTGGTACCTTTAATAGAAATTGGGAAGTTTGAAAGATGGAAGGGTTTGTGGGAAATAGGAGAGTTATGAAAGCATATGAACAAGAATCACCTATGTTAAGAAGGCATGGATAGGTTGGATTCTATGCTGATGGAGGACATAAGCTTTTTTTTTTTTTTTTTTGCGAGGCAATTGGGATTAAGTGACTTGCCCAGGGTCACACAGCTAGTAAGTGTTATGTGTCTGAAGTCGGATTTGAACTCAGGTCCTCCTGACTCCAGGTCCAGTGCTCCATCCACTGCACCACCTAGCTGCATCAGGAGATAAGCTTTTCAGTGAGATTACAGTCATTGAAGCCCTGGCACAGCAGAGAGATTGCTGGGCCTGGAGTCAGGAAGACTCTGCTTCCTGAGTTCAAATCCGGCCTCAGACACTTACTAGCTGTGTGACTCTGGGCAAGTCACTTTACCCTGTTTACCTGAGTTTTCTAATTTGTAAAATGAACTGGAGAAGGAAATGACAAACTACTCAAGTATCTTTGCCAAGAGAACCTCAAATGGGGTCATGAAGAGTTGGACATGACAGAAATGTCTGAACAACAACAAAATATGAGTTTACATTTGCATAGTGCCTTACAACTTTCTAATTACTTACATTGCTAATTCACTTGAGCTTCACAAAAACTCTCTGAGCTAGGCAAGGTTGATATTGTTGCCTCCTTGTTTCAGGTTAAAAAACAAACAAATAAACTATGGACTAAATAAGTCCATTCCTGAAATCACAGGTAATAGGTGGCAACATTGATTTAGAACTCATCGTCTCTTCATTCCAGTTAGAAGCACACCATGGCTCCACCAATTTTTCAGTCAAAACTGTATATGTATATGTACACACATATACACACACAAAAATACACATGTATATGTATATATGTGTATTATATATACATACATGCATACATACATATGCATATAATAACTAAGCAAATATAAAACAACTAAAGCAGTAAGCATGCAAGGAGATTCTGAAATGGACCATCAGGTTTTCAATAGAATCAAAAAGGATTAAGTTTAATTTGAAGTTTGCTAGTTTTCACTTGAGATAAAATTCTTTTCAACACACTCTCTAGTTAACACAAATGACCTTGTTGATTCAGTTGTTGGATTAGTCATCTGAAGGCATGTAATGACCAAGTTTTAAACTATGATACTTTCATTCTCTTGTTCTTTTGGCATGATTCTCTTGGCTTAGAGGTATGCTAAGGTTGAAGGAGGTTTTTTTTTTTTCTTTTCAGGGTATATAATTTTAAGGACCTTGATTGTTGCAGTGAACTTGAAGAAATATAACAGGTCCATGTGGCATAATTCTAATCTATATACAGCTAAGGAAAGAGGGAGAGAGAGAGAGAGAGAGAGAGGAGATAGAGGCAGAGACAGAGACAGACAGACACACACACACACACACACAGAGTCAGCAGAACAAAGACTTGGAATCCTCTGTCTGAATACAAGGTACACAGAAATTAATGTGTACAATTTTTTATTGGGCACACACATAAATGGGATTGCCGTGTTATAAAATCCTCAAAAGTGATTAAGAATGATTATATCGTCTGTTAGTTACCTCCAGTTTGAAGTTACTTTGGTGGTTCATCATGTTAATCTCTAAAAGATTTATAGAATTATCAAATAAAACATTTTTTAAAAAAATTCAACCACTTTAAAAAAATTGTAATGCTTTCAGTGTTACTTGGTCATGTGAAAACCCATCTGTTGATAGAGATTTTGCCAATAATATGTTTTCAAAACTACTCTGTATTGTTTGGTTCCTTGGATATGTCCCTAAGGCATAAGGTCTCAAAAATGTTGATGTTTTCTCCTTTAGTTTTCTAAAACCTAGTGAAAGTCACCAATTCACTTGCCACAAAGTTTTCCTGTGAGATAGAAGCACCTGTTTTATTACCTAGAAGCCTAGGCATGAAGGCAGTCTTTTTTCCTCTGCTCATTTTCATTTTACTTTTTCAGAACAAGATCATTTTAGACCCCATGACATTCAGCGAGGCTCGCTTCAGACCATCTCTAGAAGAAAGGTTGGAGAGCATTATCAGTGGTGCAGCGCTGATGGCAGATTCTTCTTGTACTCGTGATGACCGTCGGGAGAGAATTGTAGCCGAGTGTAACGCAGTCCGACAGGCCCTCCAGGATCTGCTCAGTGAATACATGAATAATGTAAGTCATCTATTTTGATATTTCTTTTCTTCGTGGATCTGTTTGTTTGGTGGCATTCTTATGGAGCTTCTTAAGGTGTTCATACTTGATGTAAAACAAAACAAAACTAAACAGAAAAACATAGGATTCACCACAAAGCTGATGATACATTGTGAAATATAAACTGTTAGAAAACAAGGAAGAGATTTGGAGAGTTTGATATATTGATATTGCTCCTAATGGCTTGGAAAGTAAAATCTTAGTAGAAGTTGGATTCTACTTTAGTGCATTTGACTTAGTCATTGATATTCTTGTGACTTTGTCAGTGAAATATGGAAAATTAGAGTCTTGAAGTAGTTATCATAGGTGGTTGCTCTAAATACCTGGGTATGCTAGGTCATTGTTACAAAAAAATACAAAACTTTTCAAAGTCAATATTGTTTGGAAAGGCCAGAGTTTTTCCATTTATCCTTGAAAGAATCAGTATTTATTTTAATAATTAAAAGGAATGTAAGGTTTTAGTATTTGTGGTCCTTTGTAGTTTATAATTCTGGTAGATGTCTGACTGCCATTGATCTCAGGTGGGCTTTTATATTGTGTAATTTGATGTGTGTATCTGAAATGATTCACATTTTCAGATGGATGTTGGCTGAATCTAGTAGCCTTGTACTGCACACAATAGCTGTAAAATATAGTAATTTAAAAATGGTGCTCACATATCTACAGAGAATACAATAAGGTTATAGGCTAAAGTGTTATGGCATTGAGATGGCTTTGCGAGGCACTGAATTGTAGTTGGGTCCTCTGACTTGCTGTTATAATGGTGACTGGTTTAGGCTGATGGAACTCACTGCCTCAAATCGCTAGGTCTTCTAAGGTCCATCAGCTCTCCACTGCAGGTGGGGGTCTAAAAGAAAGCAAATAGAAGGGGAAGATGAGGATGGTAACTGAAATAGTAAGGCTCATGGTTAGCTCACATTTCTGAGAACAGTCTCCAGGGTTGCTCTCAGGTCTGCCCTCACAAATTTTCACTCTTAAGAGCTTGAGAACCTTTGTACTACACAGACACTACCCTCATTGCCCCAGCATGTTTCTATGTCACTATTGTTCCTCCTACTCCTAAGGTGAGGGGAGGAAAAATGTGCAAAATGATAGAATTAAGACTGGGCATAATGCATAAGGAGAAACAGAAGCATTCCTGCCAAGTCAACAAAAGTGTTCTTTGGTTGCGAGTCATAGGACATGAATTAATTTAAAATAAGTTACCTTCCTGCATCAGAATATTGGTTCCCCCCCTTGGAATTTCCTTCAGATATTGAACTTTTAGAAGGCATAGGTGCTTTACGCTGCTTTTGTCTTCAGTGTTCAGTGGATGGGATGACAATTTAGATCCTGAGAATGGTGGACAATTCATCAGGACTGTTTTATTCCAAGCTGTTTGGGAGAATTGTTTTCTCTGGTTTAGGTTTGGAACGGCTCTTTGCAAACAGTTAAAGAGACTGATATAGGTGTCCGCTCCTCTTTCTGATTCCACAGATTTCTCACAAAAGAGCTGTTTATGATAATAGCAGCTTAATTTCAAAACTGTGTATACATCAAAGATGAGAGCAGGTCTCCTTCTCCAGGAAGCAGAATCTTTAATTCCAACTCTCTGACAAGTCAACCATTTCTTGTCTTTGAGGGAATGAATAATTATTGCTGAAGAAGAAACTGCAATTTTCTTTTACTTATTTGCCCTAAGGTGAAACATTTTAACACTTTTAGTTTAAGTTATGTGGGCATGCATGTGTGTATGCATGGTGTGTGTGTGTGTGTGTGTGTGTGTGTGTGTGTATGTGTGAGAGAGAGAGAGAGAGAGAGAGAGAGAGAGAGGAAAGCTGAGAGTGTTTCTATCTTTGTACTCCAAATTCCTGAGTAAAAGTAAGACTGATTTTGGGGAATGTGGTTTTCATATCAACATCTACAGAATGTGGTTTTCACATCAATACCTACAGAATGTAGTGACATGAAAGTTTTGACTTAATGTGTTAAGGACCTTAGATCTTTTCAGAGATGAGGGGCTTTGAAATTCTCTCATCTTGTGAATTTCATTTTAATGTTCAGAGCCGTATGAGGGGAGATTGGATTGGTCTTTATTTTGGAATCATTACCTGGCTTTCAGTTAATGCAGAGGGGGCTTTAATATGAAAGCACCAAAGTGGACAAGATCAAATTCTATTCACTGTGCATATACAAATTCAATTCTTTGGAAAGGAAAAAAAAAACCACTTTTTTTTTTTTTTTTTTTTGAAATTCACACAAGTGGCACAAGATTTGAATTGCACTCCACATTTTTCTAGTCTTTTCTAAGTACAATGTAGAGTAGTCACACCAAAGTCATTAGTTTAAGGAGATAAGAATGTATTGATGGTAAACACAGATTAATGATTTGCAAATTATTCAATTGTGCTAATGCTGAAGCAAGGTGGTTTATTTCATTGTAAGTCTTGAAAATAAATATATAAACACAAGTCCATCCAATAGCATTTTCATCTTAATGTTCTAAGCATCCTTAGCGAGTGTTGTAGCCAACATCTATCTAGGTCATCAAGCTGAGAAAATGCCTGCATAAATACTGTTGCCTTAGTACTGATGGAGATTCTCATTAATACACAGCCATCCTCAGTTATTCTTTCAAAGGTGAGGAAATGGACAAAAAGGAGGTAATAGACAAGTATTTATTTTGTGTTGGAATGCATTCCATTTGTCTCCTCTATTAAGTACACTTGGGCTGGGTGCTGTGTGCTCTGTGAAGAGTGAAAGCCAATTGTGGATAAAATAGTGGCCATTCGCAAGTCGGATAGACATAATAGAGCTTATTGCTTGTTGTGTGTTTGTATTTTTCTCCATATATATGTATATATATATATGTATATATATGTATACTTAACACAAATTATTTGATCCAATGTGCAACTTGAAGTTTTTTTTTTTAAGGAAATGAACTAGAATTAGGGCCTGAGAAAGGGAATAGAAACTGCCAAGGGGTGGCATTTTAAAGAAACAAGCATATTGGGCACCTTTACTTCCAGGCTTCCTCCATTATTGGAGAATTATGATGGAGAGGATCACTAGAAAAGGCATGAAAAAATAGTCCCGTCTAAATTCACACAATTAGTTTGAAGATTGTGCAAATGAATCTATATTTAGGGATGGTTTCCCCACGTTTCATAGAATATTGAGATTCAGTTTAAAGCAGTTTTAAGATATACGTGGAAGGGAAAGTCTATTTAAAATGGTTTCCCCGCATTCCATGGAATATTCAGATTGGAAACTGGTGGGCAGAACCTCCATCTTTGCTCAAAATGCCTTTCCATTTGCGTTCTTGACCTAGAGTAGAGGTTGGGCCTCTGTGATATATTGAAGGTAGGGGCAAGTGACAAGTCCACCTCTCTTCTCTCTAAAATTTACCATTTAATTTAAACTTTGCTCACTTCACTTAGCACTTTGCACCTCACTTAGTCTAACACAACCTTTAAGCCTGATTTAAGATGTAAGACAACTGGAACTGGAGCAGCCCAAACAGGCCAGAATCCTAAAAATGCAATGTCAGAGCATTGTTTCCTGGGGAGCCTTTCAGACTATTGTCTCTACCTGCAGAACAACACTGATGCCCAACAGATCACCCGCTTTTTTTTTTTTTTGGTGAAGAGCGAGGTGTAACTGAAAGTTTCAGATTGATAATGGGTGATGACCATTTCTGCCATCTCTCAGAAATTGTTCAGTCCTTAGGTTGACTTCTTTGGAAAATATTTCATGTGTGAGCAAGGCATTTGCTTCCTTTTGGAATTATACCGTTAAGTGTGATTTCTCCAGGAAGTTGCCAGCCCCAGTTGGAGGCATTTGTCCTCTGAGGAGCATCATTTATTTATGTTCTTAGAGTAAGAATAAAGGGTGGGTGGGGAGTGTTTTCAAAAGGGAACTTGTACCTTGAAATATTTTTTATCTTGAATTCATCTTCATCAATGGATATGTAAAAAAATTGACTATGGGTAAAAAATGCTGGATGCTATGAAGAGTTTCTTTCAAACTAAGGGCAGACTCTGCCTACTTTCTGAAGTTTGTATTCAAGTAGTTTTTAATGCACAGAGGGAATGGATGTTTAAAAGGGATGTACTTCTAAAAAAGGGAAAACAAATTAGCTCCAAATGTCACTATGTGGCTTTTCACTGTGGAGGTAAATTTGGTATAATATGGATAATGTGAGTTATTGCTATGGAAGTGGATTCAATTATTGAGGTATCCAAAAGACCCTATTGTAAGGCAACTCCATGGCAAGTAGCCCCCTACCTAACCCCAACCCCCCCACCACAGGTCATGGGATAAAATAACAAAGCTACTGAGTAGTATAGGTCTATATCAGAGATTCTTAAACTGGGCTTCCATAGACCACCTAACATTTCTGTGGACAGATTTTAGGGGATCCATGTACTTAGATGGGAAAAAAAAGTTATGTCTTTATTTTCATTAACCTGTAACTGGAACTCAGTATTCTCTTAAGTTATTAAAAACATGATTCTGAGAAGGAGTGGTCCACAGGGCTTCATCAAATTTACTGGCAAAGGTGTCCAAGGCAAAAAAAAAATGGATAATTACACTCGTTCTGTAACGTTAAATGCTGAGGTAGGAACTAGATGGGAAGGGTCAAGTGTAGATTTTACGAAGTGATTTTTTTTGGCAGGAATTAGGGAGCGGAGGAAGGGAGATAGACAGAAGAGGTATTTCATGCTTCTGAAAGAAAGGGGTGCTGGTAGAATTTCTTTGTGACAATGATCACACTACTGATTTTCCAACAGATGAGAAGATGGGAAAGAGACAGGTAAGCATTTCCCCCCAGAGTATACAGTGACCCTTGTTTATACATTGACCCAAGGGTAAGTCTTGTCTAAGCCCTTTTCCCATCTCCTTTTCCCTGTTCTTGTCCACCAGAAGCTAAAAGAAGAAAGATGGTGAAACTTAAGTTTAGTCCTATTACCTGACCC